CCTATTGTTTCTCAGAAGACGGGGTTTGATGCCCCCAACGCTTCACATAATTATCCTACTTCTAGCAATGGTTTGGTGTCCCTACTGTAGGATGTGAATTTTGGCTAAGGAGAGACTTTGGAGGTTTGTGATACCCTTAGATGTCAACTTTCAGGTTCTTGAAGGTATCATCGATACCGAGATAGAGGACTTTCCTATGGTACCCCGTTGTTATGTGGAACCCTCTCTTCTGTGTGCTTGGTCATGCTGACATTCTAGCTTCAAAATTTTGCAGGTTGTAATTTTTTTGTACTTTTGAGGATGTTTACTCAATGAGGTGTCGAGAGTTTTGGTGGAAGAGAGACTTGGGCACAAGGCTACAGTTAAGGTTGGCTCATGAGAGAGCATCAGTTCTTGAGGCCGAGCGTCTAGAGAACGAGGCAATTTACATATAAGCACAAGCTGAGTTAGGCCAAGCTTGTGGCGACTCTCATGAGAGTCGCTAAGTTAGAGACATAAGTTGTTTGCTTGAGAGCAGAGCAGAGATAGGATAAGCTTTTAGCGACTCGCGAAAGAACCACTAAGTAGGAGACATAGACTGCTTGCTTGAAAGCGAAGCATAGATAGGCAAAGCTTTTGGAGACTCTTGTAAGAGCAGCTAAGTTAGAGATATAGGCTGCCTGTTTTAGAGCAGAGCAGAGATAGGCCAAAATTTTGGTGATTCACTAGAGAGCCGCTAAGCTAGAGACATTGACTGCGTGCTTGAGAGTGAAGCAGAGATAGGCCAAGCTTTTAGTGACTCTCGTGAGAGTCGCTAAGTTGGAGATATAGGTTGTCAGCTTGAGAGTAGAGTAAAGATATGCTAAGATTTTGGAGACTCTTATAAGAACTACTAAGCTGGAGATATAGATTGTCTGTGTGAGAGCAGAGTAGAGATAGACCAAGCTTTTGACGACTCTCGTGAGAGCCGCTATACTGAAGATATAGGATGTCTACTTGAGAGTAGAGTAAAGATAGGTCAAGCTTTTGGCGACACTTGAGAAAACTGCTAAACTAGAGATATAGACTATCTGCTTGAGAGCAGAGTAGAGATAGATCAAACTTTTGGTGACTCTCGTGAGAGCCACTAAGCTCAAGATATAAGTCGCCTGCTTGCAAGCAGAATATATTTAGGCCAAGGTTTTGGTAATTCTCGAGAGAGCGGCTAAACTAGAGATATAGACTGTCTACGTGAGAATAAAGGAAGAGATAGGCTAAACTTTTGGTGACTCTCGTGAGAGCCGCTAAGCTAGAGATATAGATTGCCTCCTTGAAAGTAGAGCAGAGACAAGTCAAGCTTTTAGAGACTCGCGAAAGAGCCGCTAAGCTGGAGGTATAGACTACCTGCATTAGAGTAGATGCAGAAATAGGCTAAGCTTTTGGCGACTTGTGAGAACCGCTAAGCTGGAGATTGATACGCGGGCACCGCTAGGCTAGGACTGCGAGGGCGATGGGTGCCGAGGGGCATGGGAGTTGTTGGGCATGGAGGTCGTTGGGCACAGATGTCGAGGAACACTGGGCACCGCTGGGCACAGACGCCGAGGGAACTAGGGGCAGGTGCGGTGGCTCCAAAGATGTGGGTGACAGGAGGATACATAGTGGGCCAATTGGGTGACACCACGACTAGAGGTAGAGGGTGACGCCACTAGCAGTGGCTGGGCTACACCACTGGGAAGTGGCCATGGACGACGCATGCTGGGGCTCAGGGTGTTGGTTGGTACTAAGCGCTGACCAGTGGAGTGCATGCTGAGGATTGTGGGCGACGCCTTGGAGCCGAGTGGTATGGGCAACGCTTCCAGTAGGTGGTCTAGGGGACGCCTTGCCAGCAATCTGGGCAACGCCACTGCATAGGCAGGTGCACTAACGGTGTTTAGCGCTAGTTGACACAGGCACTGGGTACGGGCGCCGAGTGAGTCCTCCCTTTACCTGGTTGACTATCAGCTGTGAGTCACTGTAGGCTATGAGACGGAGGGCCTCCATCTCCAATGCGAGCTTTCAAGCTTGATTTGAGGGCCTCATATTCTGCTTGGCTATTGAATGTGGCAAAGTGGAGGGAGACCGCGTATTTGAGTGGAGTGTCATGGGGACTGATCAACACTAGTACTGTGCCACCGTCCTCGCTGGTGGAGGACCCATCCATGTATAGTCTCCAACATGATTTTGTAGATGGTAACGAGGGCACAGAGGGCTCCCGTGGAATAGGGACAAAGGAGTCGGGTGCCTCTAATCTCGAAGTGTGGTCTCCCGAGGCCTGTGGACCTGTCTTCGAGAAGTTGGGCTTTCACGGGATAGTGTCTGGGCTTGCGTCATGGTGGCTGGATGCATTATGCACTGAGCAGGTGAACGTAGGTGAACTTGATACTTCATCTTAGGATTCCAAGTATTGACTCTCGGGACTCCCCTGATAGTGTAGACTCGCGGGATTGCCCTGGCGGTGTAGAGTTCTGGGACTCTCGTGGCAATGTAGACTCCCAGGACTCCCGTAGCGGTGTAGACTCCCGGGACTTCGTGGTAGTGTAGACTCCCAGGACTCCCGTGGCGATGTTCTGGTGCGGGGCGCCATGGTGTGGGGTGGCTTGGCCCCTAGAGTGGAGTGGCTTGGCCCCCAGAGAGGAGAGGTTGCAATGCTTCTCTCATCGAAGGGAGTGGTATTCCTCTTACAGGCTAAGGGGCAACGTCTCTCGGGCAAACATCAGCTGGATGATTTGCTGGTTCTGATTTACCAGTAGCTGCATGGTTTGTAAAAGCTGTTGCCCGACCACGGGAGTTGCCGCAGTGGAGAGTAAATGTACTAGATCTTCGAGGAGCTACAAAAGGTAAATACAATTAAAGATTATTTTGATCTTCAAGAGTGAGTATCCTGATAATTTATCCTCACGTGTTTTAATTCTTCTGAACTATTTGAACTCTGTACTGAAACGAATCCATAAATTGGGTTTGACCTGTCTTGTAGATGATTTGGGCCTAACTCATTAATTGGGTTTGACCTAGTTAAACTTGGGCTCATCATCGTTGAAGGTCATTTACAGGTTTTAGAAATCATTTATACCTTTACAGTTTGACTTACAATTTTTGTAGGTTATTTATAATTTTTAAGGTTAATTATGATTGATCCTAAAATTGTTAAGATTGATCGCAAATGACCTACAAAATTATAATTTGAACCATAAAAGTTGTAATACAACTTAAAAAATTCTAAATTTTTTTTATCATAAACAAACTTTAAAACTCGTGTGTCAACCCATAAAACCTCTATTTCAACTCGCAAAACTTGTGGTGTGGTGCCAAATTTTATTTAAAGTAACATAGTCTTCTCCGATGTGTGTATATCAACCGTCATAACCAGCACAAACGAGTAATCCAACTATTTTCTGCCAATAACAAATAAGGCACGTGTAGAGTTTCTGTATTTTTGTTTTTTATTATTTTTACAATCAACAATAAATAAATCAAAATAAAATCTACGGCTCGTAAAGATTTGATTTTTAGTATCATCCAACAGTTAATAATTGAAGGTTAGAGTGTCCTTCTCAACATTATCGTCCTTCTCAACAATACTGTGGTTCCGTCAAGTCAACGACAATTAATTTGGGCCCAACGATCTTGGCACTTACACCATGCACAAGGGGGACCCTATGAACTACCCAAAATTCCTCCCATCAGCCGCCCTTTTCTTGTCTTAACGTCGATCTGATCGTTTGTCTGATTCACGTGTTGTGTTATTTATATTGTATTATTATTATTTGTATTGTATTCATGTCAAGATTTACATACAAAAATTTATTTAATATGTTCTAAATGTTAAATATTAGTTTAAATTATTTATTATATCTATTTAATAATCGTGTCAATTTTATAATCGTTTGTATCAAGTTCATATCAACATGTGATAATTAGCACATCCCGTCAATTTTTGGATAGTGGTTCCAAAATTTATAATTTTTTAGGTTCAATATGCTAATTTTTAGATCTAGTTACAAAAATAAAATAAAAAAAATCGATCTCAAACACCATTGTCCCCCCCTCCAAAAAAAATATCTACAGCTCAATTTTTCTCAATTATAAGAATGAATATTCTTGGAATTTAAAGATTCAAAATATATTCAAATCCTAAGGGAGCAGCCGCCCCTCCCTTGGGTGAATAAAGCCCAGTCGGCCACCTCCCTCTGGTATTCAAAGCTCAATTTGTATCCAAGCAAGTGTTTTTTTGTTAATACAATACGTGGCCTTACTTGACCATTCTAGAACCTTCACAATTATTGAAGATTCAGTTAGTATCCAATTGTAGGTTAAAACAAACTGACTAACTGTTTGGACATAAGAAAACTGTCTGTCTCAACATATTTTGTAGCTACACTAATTTAACTGTCTACGTTAATTTGGTGTAAGAAATTTGATAAAAGAATAATTTGATTGATTATAGTATTACTGGTGACAACAGGGACGGAGTCAGAAAATTGTGCTAAGATGGGCACGAATATTTTAAAAAACTAATTTTTTTTTTTTTTTTACGATCGATAGAAATAAGATAATAATTTATATTTAATTACATCCTATTTAGTATTTAAAAAATCATTAAACCCAACATACCAAAATTTGGTAAGCCTAATATATACAAACGACAATATTTTTTTTTACAAAATATAGGCTAATTAAAATCATTTAGAATTGATTCCAGTGAATTTTCGTACTTTAAAACCGTTGGATAACAATTTTATTATTCTTTATATACACAATCATGTTATCACTTTGGTATTTATAACTCATTCGATTGATTATGCAGTTCAATATGTATTCTATAATTTTTACCATAATTAACAAAAATAAATGTCAAAATCACAAATAAACTAACAAATTTTTTGTTTGTTGATTAGATAGTCGAAACACACTTATTTATACAGCAAGGTGGTTGCCTCAACTCCAACACAGCTCAAAGCACCATTTCAGGCTACTGTTCCTCTCCTTGATAAACCATTAAGAACATGTACTCTTTTGCTTCCCTATCTTCCTTTCGTTCTCTTCCTCCTCCTTCTCTTGCCATCTGCCGCCATGTCTCGCCATACCCGGTGGAGGAACATGGCATTGCTCGCTATACCATGTTACATGGGCCCAGACAATCGAGATCACGCCAACCACATCATGTGATTGGTGTACAGTGGCGTGATCTCCTATTGCCATCCATCAATATCTCACTGGCACGATTCATACGTGTCAGTATCAATATCGGCCAAGACCTTAAACCAAACATGGAAGATGAAAAAACAATCAAATTGCCTGAATCATATGCCATGAATGGAGGAGATGGAAATTGTAGTTATGCCCAAAACTCATCTTATCAGGTAGTATTCCTTTCCCATTTTAATTTTCACCATAATTATGTCTTATGCAAAAGGGTGCGGTGGGATGTGGTAGGGAGTGCAAGTTTCGTGCCTCGCATGGGGCCACCACTAGGTAAGTACTAACTAATAAGTTGTGGGGTATAGTACGAGGCAATTGGGACCAAAAAAATGATAGACAGAATAAAACATTGGGCATAGAATGAAATTCAAAAATCACAAAACTATATCCGAACGAGTCACGATGACTCCGCCATCAACAATGTCCTTGAGTCAAGCAAGAGTCTCACTCAATCCATAATTTAGATTACATATGTATCGTTGTCAAAACGTAACATATTGAGTCCAATACAATTAGATATCCACCATAAGTGATAAACATGTACTTAATGTATGCCAACTAACGACCAGGATTGACTTTATGGGATGATTCAGCGAAAACTTAAATTCGGAATCTTTCTTCTCTTTAAATGGACACACTTGAGGTTAGATAGCAAGATGTGATGAGATAATAGTTTTTAAGAGCTACAAATTTTATTTATTAGCATGAACCGTATGCGAACTCGACAAGATAAATTTTAAGCAAAAAAATTGACCTTATTTCGAAATTAATATAATTGGTTAACAAGAATATTAAATGAATCGTGTTAATATTAGACACAAATAACTCATTTAACTAGTATGTTTGAAGGAAAATAAGTGCTTTTTGTTTTTTTTTCATTTCTAAATCTACTATTTTTAATTACCTTTAGAATTTAATAATTTTTTATTAACATATTTTTTGCCGAGAACCAAATTCATTGGGCTTGCTTGGAGTTGGTTTTTTTGGGTGCGAAACTGATTTTGAAAAGTGAAATAAAAAAGTTAGAATTAAAAAAATTCGTAGAATCATTTGTAATGTTTATGAAAAAAACTGATTTTTCTCTAAAGCCCTTGCATAAGTCCAATTTTTCGGTTTTTTCTTAGTATTGATAAAAGTTGTTTTGCTAAAAAAAATTAATGGAAAAGTCACCAATAAGCCCTGGTCTCAAACCAACTAGACTTCTTTTCCTCCCAAATCAAATAAAAATGGAGGTTTTAAGTCAGTTCCGGAGATGATACGATAAGACTCAATTGACACTCGTAAAATTATTTAGTGAATCTGATTATTATTGACCTAATTTTTTTCAGAGGGGAGCAGTGGATGCTGCAAAGGAACTCATTAAGGAAGGAGTTCCAGCCAAACTTGACATAAAACAGCTTTCTTCATCTTCTTCTATAAACCCATTTTGCATTGCAGATTTCGGGTGCTCTACAGGACCCAACACACTTCTGGCAGTGCAGGTCATACTTGAAGCCGTGGAGCAAAAGTTCAAATCAGAAAAACCAACAGCCCAACTCCCTGAATTTCAGGTTTATAAAGTTAACTATGAAAAGAAAATTAATCAAAGAATTTAAAAACACGAAATAATTACATTGTTCAGTATGGAAAACTTATATCCACGGACCAAAGTTTAATAGGTTACATTATTAAGAAAAAGAGATTGATGTCCTAATTTTTTATTAGTAGTTGATTAGTAGTCTATTACTATTAATTAATTTAGGTTAAAAAACACTTTTAGTTTCCAAAATATGTGTTTAGTGTTTGTTTGGTCCCCAATCTTCCAATTGTGTCTATTTGGTTGCTAGGGTTCTTAATTTATAACTAAGTGGTCCAATTCCAAACGTCCGTAAGAAAATCGTGACGGTTCTGGTCATGCTCAAATCACATGATTTTTAATTGTGTTTATTTGGTCCTTAAAATTATTAATTTATGTTTATTTGGTCCCATTTGATTGGCGCATAACCAAATACATTAACAATGTTTTATGGATATTTGAGATTGGATCACATAGATACAGATTAGGAACTTTAGAGATTAAAAAACATAATTGGATAATTAGAGATCAAATAGACATTACACGCATACTTTAGAGACTAAAAATACTCATGATTCGTTGTCTCTCACTCATATTTTTCTTCCCTAAACATCCCTCCCTCACACACCCTATGTGACCAACAAGGCACCAAAAATGTTTTACGTAAGCTTTATACACACATTAAAGTGAGGACACATTATAAATTCTTGTCTTGGTTTGGTATTTAGATTAAATGGGTTATATTTATAATATAAAACATGACAGATTTTAATAAGTTTATGTGATAGTTTTAAATAGACTCATCTAACGACTACTAACCTCTTTCTTAAAATCACTCACATTGAATTTCTTTTCAAATCTATCAGTTCTCATTTACTGTGCCTTCAAGCACGACTTATCCCTAGTTTCATATATAGGATGAAGATAATCACATTGATATAAACAAGAATCTGAAATCTGTTTGGCATCATGTCACACTTGATCTTATCTTCAACACATGCTGGTGTTCTTCAATGACCATGTCCTGAATGATTTCAAAACCCTTTTCCAATCTCTTCCACCTGAAAGACGATACCGTGCTGCCGGAGTGGCTGGCTCTTTCTACGGCCGAGTACTTCCCAAGGCCTCCCTTCACTTTGCTTTCTCCTCTTCTTCATTGTGTTGGATCTCCGAATTGCCGGAAGAGATTCTGGACAGTAACTCTCCGGCGTGGAATAAGGGAAGAATTCACTACACAGCAGCCAGAAAGGAAGTTTCTGAGGCTTATGCACTTCAATATGCAAAAGACTTGGAAGCATTATTGCATGCAAGAGCAGAAGAGCTTGTGGGTGGATGGCTAATGGCTCTTTTGATTCCTGCTGTCCCTAATGTTATGATCTCTTCTGAGACAACCATTGGGACTGAGATCGATCTTCTCGGATCTTGCCACATGGAAATGGCCAAGATGGTAAGAAATATTTTCAAATTATAATTAAGTATAGTTATTTAGATCTAAAATTTGACTTAATCTGTTGATCTCATGATGTGATTTCATTATAACCGTTCAATACCAAATTATAATAATTTATGGGATCTATAATCAATCTAAGAGCTATAATGAATTAGAGCATCACCAGTCCTTATAATTTTTAGACCCAAATTTAAAAAAGAATAAAAAGAGACCAAAAACCTTCTCGAGTCCTATATTTAAACATATAACAAATGAAGAGAGACTTTATTTTAAACCCAAATCAAAGAAGACTCAAAATTTAAACCTAAAAATCTAACGTAAAAAATTTGCTTACGTCGCTTCAACTTTGTGTTCGCCGGTGGACCCCCCTCTCTCTCTCTCTCTCTCGTTTTGTCACAAACCCAGTACATATAGGAATCTATATGCACATCTACATTGGAATCTATGTACTTTCAAAATATATATATCTATATAATAAAAGTAGAACGATTTTGAATTTTAGAGTCAAGAGCGGCCTAGATCGTTTCGTAACTAAAAAAATCATCATCAAATATACTGTGTTATCTCAAACTATTGACGTCTCAGATCGTTTTAATCTGACGTACCACATTAACTCTTTTGAAATATTTTTGCTGCTAAAAATTTATAGTTTCCAAAATTGATATTCCATAATTTAATTTTCTCAAATCTTTTCTTTAAATCAAGCAAATCTCTCTCTCTCTCTCTCTCTCTCTCTCTCTCTCTCTCTCTCTCTCTCATTTCTCTGTATTTTTCTCTCACGCTCAATTCAAGCAAAAAGAATCAATTTTTCACAATATTTTTTTCTGTATCTCACAAAAATATCACGAAAATATTAGAGTGCCTAATTCAAACAAATATTATATCTCTCTGTACATAGATAATATATATCACAGATAGAGATAGTATATTACGAAAATATTCCTTTGTATCTCTCTCTGAAAGAAAATTATGTAATAAATATTAGATAGATAATATATATTACGAAAATATTCCTCTGTATCTCTCTCTTTTGTTCAAGTAATACTATAAACACGAATCATATAAATTCAATAGTCAATTTTATTTTTTTCCATAATCAATAAAAAAAATATAACTTACAAAAAATCTAATTTAACAAAGAAAATATGCTTAACATATAAAATATACAAGATTAAATTCATATAGAAACATGAATCATACAAATTCAATATTTAGTGAGCAAGACAAAACATCAATATTTACTAAATAATCTAAATTTAAATACCCAAGAAAAATAATACAAAATTCTAAGCAGAGAAACGATACAAAATTATAAGCAATACTATGAACACAAATTATACAAATTTAATATTTAGTGAACAACACAAAACAACAATCTTTACTAAATAATCAAATACTAAATAACGTTTAGTTTTAAAAAATATACTAAGAATATAAATAATCAAGAATAATGATATAAAATTAAAAGCACTACTATGAACTCAAATTATACAAATTCAATAGTCAATTTTATTTTTTCCATAATCAATAAAAAAAAACATTACTTGCAAAAAATCTAATTTAATAAAGAAAATATGATTACCATGTAAAATATACGAGATTAAACTCAACTTATTGGACAACTCAGATATCAAGAAATATATTAAAGAAAATATGCTTAACATTTAAAATATACAAGATTAAATTCATATACAAACAAGAATCATACAAATTCAATATTTAGTGAACAACACAAAGCAACAATATTTACTAAATAATCAAAATCTAAATATTCGAGAAAATGATACAAAATTAGAAGCGAGAAAAACGATACAAAATTATAAGCAATATTATGAACACGAATCATACAAATTCAATATTTAGTGAACAACCCAAAACAACAATCTTTACTAAATAATCCAATATTAAATAACATTTAGTTTAAAAAAATATACTAAGAATATAAATAACCGAGAAGAATGATATAAAATTAAAAACACTACTATAAACTTGAATCATACACATTCAACAATCTGGTCGTATCTTTTGAAAGTTGGTTGAATTTTTGATAGTTATATTTGGTAATTTGACAACATCTGCAGACTTAGTTTATTTGTGAGAGTATTGTTTTAATTTTCATTATATTAGTTATCAATTCTGTTATTATTTAGATAAAATTGATTATGAATATTAAAATTGTGGATTTTAAATTAAAAACAGAACATTGAATATTGTCAACTGATATACTTTTTCAGGTGTTTGAATTATTATGGTTCTATAGGTATAACATAAGTTTCGTGGCGTAACAATTAACATAATTTTGCATGTACGTTGATGTTATAAAAAATATTAGCAGACTCATTTTGTTTGTCGTTTACCATGATGTTGTATTTTATTTTACATTTATGTATAAACAAGTATTTATGAGTAATATCATGCCTTTAGGCACAAGCAATTGCTATATATACATATTTTGTGAAAAAAAAAGAGTTACTGGGATAACATGAGAATTTTTTAAAAAGATTTGAATACCAAAAAAGTTTTTAAATTGAAAAAGTCTACATCAAATCAAGTTTTTTACCTTTTTTTTTTTACTTAAATTTGGATACGGGTTTGAAAAAAGACCAGAGATAGTCTGAGGTCAGTAAATTAGATAAATAAATTAGGTTTAAATAGCATTGCTCATTATAATTTGTGCAAACTATAGTAATGGTTCCTTTTTGTCATTGTGGTCCTCATTCTTTGCATTGTGTCATTGTGGTCCTCAGTTCTATTTGCATTCAGTTGTTTTTCTCCTCCTATTTCTAGGTTTTTTTTACGATTAACCAAGAATCCAAATTTCCTTCATTGCAAGTTCATTCAATTTCACTCAATAATTGAATGAAAGTGTATTGAAGAGTATCTTAATACATCAACCTGTGACCTAGACGTCGAACGAAGACCAACCGATCTTCAGGGATCATTCAATGAAGAATTCATTTAAAAATTACAATTTTTTATATATTAATTGATGCAAATGATATTGTAGGGATCACTCAGTGAAGCAAAAGTGGACTCCTTCAACTTACCTTTATATTATCCACCCAATGAGGAATTGGAGGCATCGATAGAGGCAAACACAAGCTTCAGCATGGAGAGAATGGAGATCCTGAACAACCCTCCGAAACATGTCGCCATGCCTAGTGTCAGACATCGCACACTGTTCTTGAGGGCTTGCTTCGAGGGACATTTGGAGAATCATTTCGGAAGTCATATCATGGATGAACTGTTCAAACGTTATTCCAAGAAAGTTGCCGAGTCTTCCTTCACCATGAATCCAGACAATGATAAATCCATTTTTATGTTAGTCCTCCTTAAGCGTAAAAGCGCGTCCTCACAGAATGATTCACTCTAGTGATCATAAGGGTCAGTTTTAAAATGTTTATTTAAGGGTTAATAATACTTTTGGTCTTTAACGTATGTATTTTTTTTTTCAGTTTAGTTTTCATTGTATCAATTTTATCTTTAAAGTGACACAAATTAAACACTTCAAGGACAAAGTTGATAAAATTGATACAATAAGAATTAAAATAACAAAAAATAGATATTTTAGGGATCAAAAATAATATTAACTCTTTATATAACTTCAAGTTGTCTCATTTTAGTTTCTCAGACTATGTAAGACGTAGTAATCAACTCCTGTTCTATTTAAATGTGAAATCATTGTGCTGTGCATGAACAACTTAGGATTGGTTGATATTTTTCATGATAGTATCATGAGGTATATATCACTCACAAAATATTAAATATACTCAATTAATAATTGTCACCTATTCTTGTCAGAATTTCTTTTCAAAAGGCCAACTTGTATTTCTTACAAGCTGTTTTTTTTGGCAACCTCTCATTGGATGTCCACACCATATGATAGTAGTGACAAAAACCCATACAAAATTTTATCCACTCTTAGGATCAAGCTACAAAAATTTGAGGCATTTAGGATCAATCCTAACATCTGATATGTAATGTATGAAATGCGTTATTCGAAATGAAAGGCATCATTTCAAATGACATTTTGAATGATGATAGTGTCATTTGGAACAACATCTTCTAAAAATGACTAGGTTTGGAAAATAAGTTTGAAAATAGTTGATTTTAAGAAGTAAGTTAGGGTAGGCATGGCTTTGGTGAATTATTTGGAGAAACACAAGCTTCAACATTGAGAGAATTGAGAGAGTTAAGCACATAAGAAAATGGATCTATATCCTCGCCATTATTTCTTTCCTTCAATTTCACTCAATACACGACTAGATAAATGACATGTGCCTAAATTTAATTCAACATACAAGATTTCTATAAAACAACCACACTGCTTAAACTATACTATTGGAAAACACACAGTAAACAAATTCATTCTAATTAAGAGCACAACGACAACCTTCTTGTTCGATTACATCACAATCCTACAAAACAAAATTGTGAAAAAAAAATATGATTACTACAGATATCGTTGATGGTAGACAAATTAAATGCTGAAGAAGGGGATCTATAAAGATCAGTTGGAGAGAGGTCGAGCATTAAAACTTACAGATCTATGCCCTAGCAAATGGATTATAATAGATCATTGATGATAGCAAGGTCGATGACAAAGAGGTTGAAGAAGACGATCTCTGAAGAAGACGATAGTCTGACCATCTGAGTGACAAATGTTGTGGATGAATTGTAAAGGAGTCGATGGCTTAGGGTAAATAAAGATGAGGGAAAGACGTAATCTCAACTAATCAACTTTTACCTAGGAAAGAATTTCGCCAGTGAATCCAAAATAATTTTTTTGTTTCAATTTTACTAACAAATTATTTTGTCGACAAAACTAACAAAATTTTCAAAAAAAATTAAAATTATTTTATTTTATTAGCTATGAAATTTTCCTTGGTAAAATTAAAATATTTTCCCTAGTGGGCACGTACATAATTGCAATTTAGCACACATAATCATGATAATATGTATGCAATGCATAATCGGGTCTCACATCTATCTCTACACCTCTCTACACACATATAATTTTTCTCTCTCCTAATTATTGTACCTCCCGAAGTTAACCATTGCTCTCTTCCCCGACCACCGTGCCATTTTTTAAAGTGGAGTAAGTCACGTGGATCGAATTATTATATATATGTGTGTTGACTCAATATTTATATTACTGTCATTAATTGCTTTATTTACTGTGAATTATTTATACTCTGTCACACACTCGACTGTTTATCTTGCACAAGACTATTTTGTGCATCATTAGTGTATATGTGATTGTGTGAATATATTTATTTAATGTTACTAATTTTAATTGTATATTTATAAAAACACAATAACGGACAAGATTAGTATAATTTTTATCTAATGTTATCTAACGATACAAAAATCCATTCAAAAAACAATTGCCCAAAAACATCTTTGTTGGACGACCTCAACGCTAAATAACAAATATTGATTAATTGTATTTTTGTCAATTCAATTTTAATACTATGGAATAATTTCCTAATTAAACAACTGATTAGATTAAATAAATATTATTTAACGTTTATGTTGTGTATTGTCAAATATTAGATAAAATTACGTATTATCTAAGACTGGATTATTTTATCTAATTTATCTATTTTTAATATGCAATCAAACGAGCCCTTATTATATAATATACAAATAAAATAAAATAAAAATTACACGTACATCATTCTCAGTGATTGAATAAAAGAAGTGGACCCTATAATTGTTTTGCATGAAACGAGTGATCCAACTATTTTCTACCACTCGCAAATAAGACACGCATAGAGTTTCTATATTTTTGCTTTTTTATTTTATTTTATTATTTTCACAATCAATCATAAATAAATCAAAACGAAATCTATGGCTCGTAAAGATTTGATTTTTAGTATCATCCAGTAGCTAATAATTGAAGGTTAGAGTGTCCTTCTCAAAATTATTGTCCTTCTCGACAATTTTTTGGTTGTGTCAAGTCTAAGACAATTAATTTGGGTGCAACGATCTTGGCACCCACACCATGTACAAAGGGTATATATATTTATAATTTTTTAGGTTTAATATGCTAATCTAATGATGTATCAAGTAATACATTGTTAATAAAAATTTCAACAACAATAACTACAAATTTTACTATTAAACTATGTCAACAATCGTATCATTGTATCCAAAATTCAAATAACCCGTACAAGAACATGATTATAATCAATAAACACTATAAAAAGTTCAAAAATTATGATGTGGCACAGTTATGATTGTCAGATTTCTATTAGTTGTAAAAAGAACTGACTAATTGTTTGGACATAAGAAAATTATCGGTCAATGGAGATATTTTCATAGATTTTGAGCAACATTAATTTTATAATCCACGTTAATTTGGTGTAAGAAATTTGATAAAAGAATAATTTGACTGATTATAGTATTACACAACAGAAACGCCTAGAAAGAGAACAAATCAATCATTGTCAATTGAGAGTCAGTGACGGGCCCTATGGACTCTGAATTGAGGGTTTTTTTTTTAATTTTTTTTTCGTCTGTTGATTAGATAGTTTTTTGATTTGAAACACACTTATTTAGAGAGCAATGTGGATGCCTTAACTCCAACACAGCTTGAAGCACCATTTGAGGCTACTGTTCCTACCCTTGATTAAACCATTAAAAACATGTACTCTTTTGCTTCCATTTCTTCCTTTCCTTCTCTCCCTCCTACTTCTCTTGCCATCGGCCGCCATGTCTTGCCATATCCGGTGGAGGAACACGGCATTGCTCGCTATACCATGTAACATGGGCCAAGACAATCAAGATTGCGCCACCCACATCATGTGATTGGTGTACAGTGGCGTGATCTCCTATCACCACACACCAATACATCATTAGGACGATCCATTCATGTCAGTATCAATATTGACCAAGATCTTAAACCATGCATGGAAGATGAAAGAACAATCAAATTGCCTAAATCGCATGCCATGAATGGAGGAGATGAAAATTATAGTTATGGCCAAAACTCATCTTATCAGGTAATATTTGTTTTTCATTTTAATTTTCACTGTGCGTGCAAGATCTTGTACAATATAAAAAACGAGAACAGATCTCTCCCTTGGTGAACTCGAGTGAGCCAGTTAAGTGACCAATCACGCTGCTTGGAACAGCCTGCGAGGTCCGGTGGTAACCTGGAACGGCAACGGGAGACCCTGGGGGAGCGGAAGAACGATCCAGTAAGGCTGAAAGAGGTTCTTGGAACAAAGAAGAACAAGTTAGAAGGACGCCGGAGTGTTTTCCGGCGTATCCCCTCCGACGATCTAGTCAGTCTTTGAGAAAGAGAGAGGAAGGAGAAAACACTGAGAGTGTATAGTAGTAAAGAGTTTTTTGTTGCATACCCGTCTTGCCTTTTGCAAGGAATATTTATACCTCAAAAGCTCATGATTGCTGTCAGTGTAGTCAGTAGGTGATCATTAAGTGCAGGCTATGTGCGCACTGATTCTGATGAAGAATGTCTTCTCTTCTTAACTGTTCGGGGTCCCGAGCAATCAATGCTGGATCATCGGGATGCCGACGGTACAATGTACTCCTCTCGGGGAGGATGCATTAAATGCTCTGTATTAGGAGCATTTAATGTCTTTCATTTCCGAGCCTTACCGCATTGAATGCGGTCTCATCAAGGGAATGGTGTAATTAATCGTTTGCTTTCCCAAGTCGCGTGTCAGCAACGACATGCGGTTTCTCTGTCTTCGATGTGATATCATATGCCACGCGTCCATCCCCATTGACTGTGGACCCTGCATTCCAGTACGTTCTGACACTAATTGTGTAAGACGAGATCATGATGAATAGCCTAGACTGGCCTAGGCTAATGACCTGTACGTCAATAGCTTATCCTGGAGTAGAGGAGGCGTCCAGGACGGGGTACACCTCGGCATCGAGGAAAGGCTCATCTCGGAACCGAGGGAGGGATACCGACCGAGGTACTACATCAGACCGAGGCTACGTGTTGGTTGTAAAACGTACTGAATGCCATGATCCTATATGACAAGTACCTCGGGGGCGAGGACCTTTATGCGCCGATGGTGCTTAATCTTAGCAACAGTGTTTTGGTAATACCGAGGATACGTGTCTTCATCATGGAGCATTTCATCACAATCCTACAAAACAAAATTGTCAAAAAAAAAATAAGATTACTATAGATATTGTTGATGGTAGACAAATTAAATGTTGAAGAAGGGGATCTATAAAGATCAGTTGGGGAGAGGTCGAGCATTAAAACTTATAGATCTATGCCCTAGCAAATGGATTATAATAGATCATTGATGATAGCAAGGGCACTGGCAAAGAGGTTGAAGAAGACGATCTCTGAAGAAGACGATAGTCTGACCATCTGAGTGACAA